ATCGTTGTAACGTAGCTCCAATGTTTATTCGTTTCGCTTCAAGCATTAGCAGAAGATCTTTTAACCATGGCGTGCAGAATAATCCTGAATCTCTACAATGATACACGAGGGACGAGCCGAATGATACGAGTCGAGTGAAATATAGAGCGTAATGTTAAAGGGATAATCCTGTGTGTTTTTTCTTTCATTATATCGGATCACGATAAATCCAGAAAATTATTCAGAGGAGACAATGATTAAAAAAATTATTATATTTATAAATATCATTTTACGTTATTCATTTTGAAATATCATTACAAATTGTGGGTTTTAAAACTGAAACATATTCGAATATTCAACTTACACATAAATTATATATCATACAATATATGTTTAAATTTTATCTTTATATATATATATATATATATTATATCACATCTTTGCACTACTATACTACTAGTTACATGAATGAAATTTTATCTTTTGATATAAAAAAACATTAGAAAAAATTGAAAATATTATCGTCAAAATCTATTCTATTATAGGGGTGGAGGAAATTATGCTATTGAAATCTCTTTTTGATTCATCCCGATATCTTAATCGGTTGCCGAGATATAACGAGTCAAAGTTTCTTAACGCAATGCAGAAATTATGAATGGGGGATCCGTGACCTATATTTTTTCCTGGAAATGCATACTACGTTCTTCCAAGAATCGTATTATGCTTTTTCACCACTTGTGTGAAGTTTGGGATAGGTCAGTGAGACAAGAGCGCGAGCGAGAGATTCGAGTAAGTGATAAGAACGGAGATAGTAAACGATTAAAAATTACCCTTTTCTTTACACAACGATATCTCGAGAAACGGAAATCGTATCGAGATAAATCAAAAAGGATTTTATAGAGCAAGGTTTTGCGCTTCTAATCATCGTTCATTTGTTCGCCGGAAATCATTATCTTCGAAGTTATACGTGTTCAAATTTTTCCTAATTTTAATAGGCTAATCGTGTTTAAGGTAAACGATTAATAAAATTACTTTCTCTTTCCAAAACGATATCTCGAGAACCGGAAGTCGTATCAAGATAAATGAAAAGCCATTTTAAAGAGCAAAGTTTCACGCTTCTTTTGATCGTTCATTAGTTAACCGGAGGTGACAATCTTCGGAGTTATAACGGTTCAAAATTTTTCCTAATTTTAATAGAAATTTAATCGAGTTTTACGCGATAGATATATATTTAATTCTGGAAAAATATCATTCACAACGATTTCATATTATAGTCTACATCGATTTAAAAAGTCCTTTAATTATACTAAATTGCATTCTTATTTAATCGACCGATTCGAGTTTAAATAATTACTGGCCTCGATACGCTGACATTTGCAACATTAATTTCGAATTAAGCAATAATAAAACTAAGCAAAACTAATTCGATGCAACTAAAAAAAAAGAAAAAAAAATAATTCCAGCCTTCGATAAGTAGATATAAGTAGATATTAGTAGATATTAGTAGGCGAGAAAGTCGATCTTTCGGTAAAATGTCATTTCTTTTCCCTCCTCCATTTGGATCCACTTGATGTGATGTCGCGGTTGCAGCTTACAGGGGATGAACGGTACCAGAGACGAAGCGGGCAGGTTGTCGTCTGACGGCGCGTTAAGAGAATTATTTATTGGCACGATTGGCGCCTGGGGAACGATTAGCATACTAATATGCCCGGTAACAATTTTCCTCGCCTCGTCGTTCGCCACAATCTCTCGCGTTCGTGTTAATCTGCCATTATTAAATTATTGCGCACGGGAGAACTTTGTGGCGCTCGGACGATTATCATTTATCAATATCACGGGGACAGCTATGGCGGCATTAATCGGCCGTGAATATTCGTACGTCGGCACGTAATGCTGGTGCAAGATAAAACTGGTATGTTATCGGCCCGTTTTAATAAGGATAGCGAATTCTTGGGGTGCAGAAACCGTGGCGATGATCGGGATCAAGCGCTTCCGGTCAGAAATTGATCCGTCCCCCCCCCCCCCCCTCCCTCCCCTATATGTAGCGGTATAGATTATTTCGAAACAGGAGAGCGTTTAGAACCAATTAAATAGAAACGGATATGTCGCAATTATTCAAAAGTGCGACCCACTTCGATGATTTTACAGTCGAGGAAGAAAAGATGATTCGAGTTTTAATGGTGATGGATTACTGTAACGCTTTCTTTTTTTTTTTTTTTTTTTTAAGATTCTATCAAATTGTAGAATCAGATCTGTTTTGATCTATTTTTTCCAACGAGTTTGGAAAAGGAAGTTTTTGTCTGTACGGTTTATCGTGATATTCCATTTTCCAAAGAATTGTTGTATCTATGTATAATCTCTTCTCTTTCTCTTTTGTATAAAAAGAGAGAGAGAGGGGGGAGGGGGAGTACATCAAGCATGGATAATAAAAGAGCAATTAAATAAGAAGGTTTAAATCAACCTCCTACGTGTGCAACCTATTTACATACCAACAAAACTCAGCCGTTCCTACGTAACACGACTAACTTCCGCATAGTTTGCCACAATTATCTCGACGAGACAAGTACACGTGGATAATATTCGTATAAATTAAAATTTTTTCGAAAATCACGATCGCCCGCGAAATCTTCAATTCGAGCTCGAAATGAAATGCAGATACGATTTCAACGAGAAATGGGTGATTTACGCTCCACTGTATAATATATTCGATTTGTTACAAATGCACATACCATGGATTTACATGTATTTTAGACGAGTTCTATTTCGAGATTGCAATAAGATAAAAGTGTATAAAATTTTCTACACATTTCCTCGAAGAATTCTAACTTACTTTTGCTTTATAAAAATTTCATATAACTCGAGTAATTATTCAAATATTCTATTTTTATGCTTGCAATCAATTTGAACACGTATTGACGAATTACAATTACTTAAAATTATAACAAATTCTCGACACAAAATTATCCCTCCAGATTTTCCTTTCAGAAAAATTCTAACTGTAACCTCTCCATTCGTTCTTTTTGTAATATAATTTGATTAAATTCTTCTTTTCCATCAAGAAGGAAAGGAAAAGGATGAAACTTTCTTCCTCAAGTTTCTTAAGGAATGGCAGGAGATCGCGATCGAGTTTTAGGCGGTCTCGATCGCAATCAAGTGCGCCGGATAGGCGCCGATTCCTCGCATTGTCGCGCTCTTACACCTTGTTGTTCGCAACTTGTTCCGATATTATGATATACACGCGCGGAGACCTATACGCGAATCGCCTTGGAAAATCTCGCGGTGAAAGGCAGTATTATTAATTTGCACGGATCGGTAATCGATCTTCGCCGCAAAAATCAATGCGTTCCCGATATTCTCGGCGCATAACCGAATAACCGTGTCATTAAAAACGAGCGCAGTCCAACGTGTCTCGAACTCGACAGCGTTAAGAGACAGCGTTATGCGTTGTAATCGCGTTAAAAATCTCGCCACTTGGAACGTGGAAAAGATCGCAGGTGCGATATCATCGGATTTTTTTTTTTTTTTTTTTTTT